CGAACCCCAGGCTGCCAAAGCGGAGCGTGTGAACCTAACCATTACGCTACCAGGCTGGCCCCTCTCTCCAACTATTGCCTTCATTCTCAAACAGGCTTGTCCCTTGTGGTATCAAATGACCCTGCACCCTAGTGACTCCATGTCCAGCAGAAATAGAGAGAGAAAAAGAGAGAAAGTTAGAAGAACCCCTCTTCCAGTAACTCTGATGAGAGGCCTGAGATTTACTCTCATTGGAAAGGCTTAGAGCACATGCTCACCCAGACCAATCAGTGAGGCCACAGGAATGGCACGATAACTCGCTGATATAGGCCTGTGTCTTGTCCTCCACCCTGGGCCAGGGGTGGGGCTCGACCAACAGCAAAGAATCCACAAAGAAAATCAGGCCTGCTGCCAGAAGAGCAGGAAGGGACATTGGGGGTGGCATAAACAATGTCCACTGCCATTCAGGAGTAGAGTGAGGATATTATATAAGAAACCATATCATACATCATATAAAAATGCAGTTAAAGAAGAGAGGAAAGAGAGTGAAGTTCTGTTCAATACATCTTTTTTTTCCTTAATATATAGTGCCATGTACTGGTCTAGATACTAATGCTATAAATACGTAAAAAAAAAAAAAAAATACAGCCTTGGCCTTCAGGAAACTTATACTCTAATGAGGGAAACAGACATATAAACAGATCTAATAGGCTGAACGTCAAGAGAAGTGGGGGTGCTGCAGAAACCCAGACGAGGGCACCCCCAGACCAGCCTGAGAACCCAGGAAAGGCTTCCCAGAATAGATGACATCTGAACTGAATCTTGCTGTATGACATGAGGAAAGGTGGAAAGAGACTTTAGGGTAAACAGAACTGCATGAAATGGTTGGAGGGGAATTATAAATAGTTCAGTATTCAAAAACTAACATCTGTTGAGTGCTACTATATGCTAGACACTTCTCAGCCCTTTTTCTGTAATACTTCATGTAGTTAATATTTACAGAGGACAATGAATAGCCTGGCATTCTGGAAGGAAGGTTCATGAAAAGGAAAACAAAATAAAACAAAACAAATAAAAATAAGCAAACAAACAAACCCAAAAAAATCAGGCTGAAAAAAGCAGGTTGGGATCAGATTATGGAAGGGTTTTAAATACCTATATTATACCTAATTCAGAAGGTATTGGGGGCCGGCCCCGTGGCTTAGCGCTTAAGTGCGCGCACTCTGCTCCTGGTGGCCTGGGTTCAGATCCCGGGCGCGCACTGATGCACCGCTTCTCCGGCCATGCTGAGGCCGAGTCCCACATACAGCAACTGGAAGGATGTGAAACTATGACATACAACTATCTACTGGGGCTTTGGGGGGAAAAAGGGAAAAGAAGGAGGAGGATAGGCAATAGATGTTAGCTGAGAGCTGGTCTTCCTCAGCAAAAAAAAGAGGAGGATTAGCACGGATGTTAGCCCAGGACTGATCTTCCTCACCAAAAAAAAAAAAAGAAGAAGAAGGTATTGGGAGCTAATGCAAATTTTGGGGCAAGAGTTTGACATGATCAAGGCCATATTTTACAAACATTTTCTAAATTTGATACCTGCAAGATGGTATCAAAGATGGTGTGGAGAGAGTTGTATTTGGGACACCATTGAAGAGGTTGCTAAGATGCATCAGCCAGAGGTGAAAAGAATCCCCTTCTGCCCTCCTGACCCTCATACATTGCTGACCTCCTATGTAAACTCTCTCCACAGTGCCCTCTGGAATCTTTGTTTTATTGCACCATCCCTATATTCTTAACCTCTTTACAGAATGCACCCTCCTCCTCCTTGCCTTAAATAAAACTTGTTTTTTTCCTCTCAGGAATCCACTTGTACTGAGCCCCCTTGAGCTGAGGTTATTGATCATCCTATTGGACCCAGAACTTGCCCATTAGCAAATCATTTCTAGGCACCTCCCTGCCAACTCCCTCCTCCTGGGAGGACCATGCCATCCAATCCTCCTCCATCTTCCAGGCTTTGCTTACTCTCCTTTCATTCACTTTTCAGCACATGGCACTCTCCTGGAAGTTCTTTGGCAATTGTCACTTAGATGCTAAATCCAATGAGTTTTATATTTTAACTTGGGGCATTTGATTCTGTTGACCCATTGTTTCTTTTTTTTTTTTTTAAAGATTTTATTTATTCATTTTTTTCCCCCCAAAGCCCCAGTAGACAGTTGTATGTCATAGGTTCACATCCTTCTAGTTGCTGTACGTGGGACTCGGCCTCGCGTTGGACGGAGAAGTGGTGCCTTGGGGCGTGCCCGGGATCCGAACCCGGGCCGCCAGCATCAGAGCGCGCGCACTTAACCGCTAAGCCACGGAGCCGGCCCGACCCATTGTTTCTTGACAGATTCTCCAGAAATTATTTTTTCCTGTTTCTCCTCATACCCCTCTAGCCATCCTTCTCAGTCTCTTCTGCATGTTCTTCCTCTCCTCACTTCTTAAATGTAAGTGTGTCTTGGGCTTGTTTCTCAGCCGTCTTCCCTCCTCACCTGCCATGCTCTTCCAATGGTTTGAATCACCATCCATATGTTGGTGAGCTGACAACTCACAAATCAACACCACCAGCCCCAGCCTCTCTCCTGAGCTCTAAATCTATGTGTCTAACTGACTACTGGACAGCACTAACTCAGTGTTTCACAGAAACTCCAATTCCACATGCTCAAAAGAGTACTCTTTCCCGTCTATCCAAGACACCCAAGCAAAAGCCTGAAAGTCGCTTCAACTCTTTGATTTCAATGACCACTTTTAACCACTCACTGAGTGTTGTTAATTCTGCCTTTTTCCTATCTTTCCTAGCTCTCTCTTTTGCTCCATTTTCACTATTACTTCTTTAATTTAGGATCTCATTATCCTTTGCCTAAAATGTTAGCTTTTTATTTTGAAAATTTTCAAATATAGGTAGAGTATAACGAACCCTTACATATCCATCATCTGGATTTAATAATTATTAACTTTTTGCCATAGTTACTTCATCCAATATTTCTACACTGTTTTAGAGCAAATCCAGGCATCATGACATCTCACCCATAAATATTTCAGGATGCTGTTTTATGTTACACAGTAGCATGATCACACCTAACAAAATTAACAAGAATGCCTATTATAATATTACCTAATACTCTGTTTATCTTCCAGATTTTCTCTTTACAGTTGGTCTGCTTGAACCAGGATTCAAACAAGGTCCACACACTGCATGTAGTTGAAGTCTCTTGGAAACAAAAATAGTCCCCTCCCTTTGATTCTTCCCATTGACTTTTTGAAGAGACTAGGTCAGCTGTCTTGGCTCACCTAAATTTTTCGGTTGTCTCCTAACATCTCTTTACCTTAGATCTTGCTCCTTCCCACCCCTTCCCCAATCCATCTTCCACATTGCCGTCAGAGCCATCTTTCTAAAATGCAGTTTGGGTCATGTTATTTCCCTGTTTGAAACTCTTCGATGGTTCCCATGAGCTGCCATGGTAAAATTCATACTTCTTCCTGTGTCATACTATAATGTTTTCACTGATCTCTACCTAAATTTCCAATCTCTTCTTTGTTTGACGCTTCCTCATACTATGCAGACCAAAAACTTCTCTTTTCCCTCAAAACACCAGCCTCAGACTCTGTCTGAATGCCATGTACTTGCCTCACTTCCACCTGGAAGAATAACCTTCATTTCCCAAAGCTCAGCTCAAGTATCACTTCCTCTATGACATTTTTCTGATTCCTTAAACCCCAACCAAGGAAAATTGACCATCTCCTCCTTCCATCCTGGCCCCCACAGTGCCCCACTGCACATAGTGTTTACATTGCTGGCTCCTTCTGAGGCTCCTTGAGCCTGGGTCCTACTCATTGTAGTAGTCTTATCAGCCCCAGGGATTTATCAAAAAATGGGCTTTTAATAAATGCTTGTGAGTAGGTGAATGAACGATAAATGGGTGACATTACAACCTGGGAAACATTAGATTTGTTCCAAGAAGAAATTCCTAACAGTCTCTCCTGCTCACGGCTCTTGAGGCCGTGGGCATAGCCAGACTTAGGTCAAGGACAGGGCCATTCCTATTTGAGAGCAGGGCCCCAGACCTCCAGCCTGTTGAGTTCCATCCTGTGCCCCAAGGAGAGTCATGTGGCGTTGCGTGACTTAGGTTCTATTACAAGACCACTGGATTCTCAGTAAAGGGAAGCATTTTTGAAAACATAGTCCTTGGGTGAGGAGAATTCCTTCCTCGGAGAAAGAAAGTTGCCTTCCTGGCAATATGGTTTATTATCAAGCATGGGATAAAGTGGGAAAAGGCAGGTTAGTGACAAAGCTGATCAGCAGGCTATTGTTCAGTGCCAGGTGTTTAAAGTCTATGAACTGGGCCGGCCCTGTGACTTGGTGGTTAAGTGCGCGCGCTGCGATGCTGGTGGCCCGGGTTCGGATCCCGGGTGCGCATCGAGGCACCGCTTCTCCGTTCATCCTGAGGCCGAGTCCCGCATACAGCAACTAGAAGGATGTGCAGCTACGACATACAACTATCCACTGGGGCTTTGGGGGGAAAAATAAAATAAATAAAATCTTAAAAAAAAAAAAAAATAAAAAAAAAATAAAGTCTATGAACTAATTTCACGACACTGTGCATGTCACCTCCCTCTTTTGGCCTGTTTTTCAGTCTTCCAAACAAAGATATAGGACTAGATGATCTCTGAGATCATTTCCAGCTCTATCATTTTATTATCTAATTCGTATATAATACCAGTATAACATGTTTTCCATATGATAAAGATTCAAGAATTATTGATGGCATTTTGCAGATATTATTATACATTATATAATATAGATCTGTATTATACATTATATAGAAACTGAGTGCAGTGGGGCAAGAGATTTGCTTCAGACACGTGGAGGTAGCACCAGGCCCGAATCCTTCCCGAGCTCTGTTTCATGAAGCAATCAATGTTTCCTGGCTCCCCAGCGGAGCTGCAGTATCTTTCCCTTTAGAAAAGCTGGTCTGTTTTTTCCCTCCAAGCCTGCAGAAAAAAATCAAGGGCATGAGTATTAATAGGAAAAATATTAGAGCCCACTTATTCCACTCCCACAGCCTACAAGGGTTTGAATCTCACAGTATTGAAAGTAAGAGAAGTCAGTGTTGCTGAGAATGTCAGGGTGCACGTGAGAAGGAGGCTGGAGCAGGAGAAGGGGAACAGATTTGAGCTGCTGGGGATGCATTTCGGTGTCTGTGGAGCAGGATCGGGGGTGGGGCACTGATCCCAACGGCATAATGACAAGGTCAGCCTCATCTCTTCTCTCTGTTCTTGGCAGTAGCCAGTCTAGCTAGAAAGAGCAATCTGTCAAGTCTAATTAGAGTGAAAGAAAGTGAACAATGGGTGCCCCGCTCTAAAGTGACGGCCCAGTGTAATGGGGTGGAGGAGCTTGGGAGGGACGTGTGCTTTGTGTGCTGGAGTTGGTTCCTTCAAGTGGATCCTTTCTGAACTCAAACTGCAACACAACTTAAACTGGATTCGTATTTACTTCACCAGAAATCTTCAGGTCCCTGCGCTTTTTAGCACATGCACATCCAGCAAAAGCAGAGGAGGACCTGGCTCTGTTTCAAAGGTGAGGCTATAATTGAAAATAGTTACATCACGCGGCCGTGGAGACAGTGCTGTGTGCATGCAACCGATATTTATTAATTTGTCCATGTTTCTCTTTTGTGTTTAATTATATTGGTGGAATATAAGATTTCTCTTATTATTTTTGCAACCTTTTTTATTATAAGGCTTATAAATGGATTCTCAAAATTTCAGAACTGCCTGAAATTTTAGTAGGATCACAAATAAGCACATTTTAAGATGCAAAAACATTTTAATTATATTTTTGGCTTACACTTTAAACGACCTCTCCGATTTGGATATTTTAGTTCTTGCATCAAAAGTAGGTTTCACAGGAAAAGGGTATATTTTATAAATGGAATCAAATAAATATATTTCTTAAAATAAATACATGAATACAGGTTATTGAAGCTTAAAAACTATGCATTTGCATAATCTAAAACCTCAAATAACAAAGGCCTGTTATCAGCAAATATTATCCTGAAGACTAATGGTTTGTTAATTTAACTCTGCCTCAGTGTGGGACATTCAGATGTCTTAAAGGTGTGAGAAAAAATAATTCTCTGAAGTGGGAGAGAAAGAATGGGAAGAGAGTAAAAACAAACACAATTTATAAGTTATAAGTCTCAGTCTGCATGATTTTGCTGCCCTTTCCTGTGCGTTACCTCATTTAATCCCCAAAGCACCCTGTGAAGTATGTTACCAATATCTTCATCAACAGATAAGGAAACCAAGGCCCTGAGGACTTAGCCCAACGTAACAGAGAAATGTAGTCGGGCCTCGAACCCAGGTCCCAAGGCTCCAAGTCTAGTGTACATCTCAGCTCTGTATTGCTGATAGAATCAGGAGACATTACATTTTAAAAATCATCCAATTCGTAAGGATAGTGCCAACACGACTCTCTTCCAATCTCTCGGTCTCTTACGGACATGAATGAGGCTGTGGATTTTAGTTTGGTGTTTTTGTACCACTTACCATACTTTACTGCATGTTGCTAACCTTTTATTTTCTAACAGCATCACTTGTTTCTTCTCTGTCCTTTCTTTTTTTTTTCTTTTACATACATATTATCTGAATAAATTACCTTATAAAAAGATAACGGGAAAGTCTGCCAATGCTACACACCTCACCCCAGACCCATCCTCTCCCTAGAGAAACCAGTTATCAATTTGGGGCATAACCAACTGTTTCTGCGTGTGTTTGCATAGATGTGTGTGTTTGTATCATACTGTTTTGGGTCTTTTTAAAACATAAATCGTACCATGCTGTACTTTTTATTCTGCAACTTGCTTTTTTTTTTTTTTAAACTTACTATGCCTTGTGGAGATCTTTTCATGGCAGTACATTTAAATCTAATCCATTCTTTTTAATTGTTACATAGCATTTCATGCACTGTCACCTTTACTGTTTCCTCTCTACCTTGCCTCTGCTTTTGAAATGGCTTAGTGGCACAGCAAGTCAACATTAACCATATTTGTGTTTATGGGACAGGTAGAGACAGGCATAAGCTTGATGGCTCGTTGGAATGTTAACAAGTAAGAAAGAAACGAAACATAAGGAAGCACCCACACTAGCGCTTGGGGCTGAGATGAGAGGCCTCAGGAGGCGCAGTGTTATCAGTAGAGTCGTTACCTCTCAGCCTCTGAATTTTAGCGTTTACTTTTTTTTTTGAACCCACCTGTTCTTCAGAGATATATTCCTTATATATAAGAGATAACAGTAACATGCTTGACTGGGTGCTGTGAGGATTAAATGAGAGAACACATCGGAAAGAACATCAAAACTGTGCAGACCAAGACGGGTACATTATGAATTGTGTTTGCTTACCCTCTTCCCTCCCCCTCCCTCCCACTTCAGATATTATGTTGTGAGGCAATAACTCAAAGAAGGGTAGTTAGGAAATGGAGCTGTGAATGTCGTTGTTAGATATTCTGGAGCAGGAATATGCCTAGAAGCATGGACTTTGGAGGCTGACTGGTCTCTGGATTTAAGTCCTGCTGTGGCTAATTATTAGTTGTGCAACTTGGGTAATGTTTTGTCATATGTAAAATAAGGGTAGTAATAATAGTAAACAGCCTGTGGGGTTGTGGTGAAGTTTAAATGAGATAATGTATGCAAAATACTTATACAGTTTCAAGTGTAGAGGAAAGTCAGCTGCTGTCATCATGATCAGTCAGAGAAGTTGCAATATCCCCACTTCCATTTTCTGTCTATTAAGTGTTGCTATCTGGTTTCCTCAGACATGACAATAAAGGAAGGCCTAATCGCAGGGTTAAAGCACAGCCATTCATTGTTCCTTTAGTCCATAATTTATTTTTTTAAAGCAGGTATTCCCTGAGCACCCACTGCATGTCTGATACCCTGATGGGTACTGTGTGAAGCATAAAGGAAGTGCAAGACAGGGCTCTTGCCCTCAGAGTGCTTACAGTTATTAAATTGAAGTGCCTTAATGTACGAGGTTAACAGTGTAAAGAACTCTGAACCTGTCAGATGAAAGGCATTCTGTAATATGCTCTCTGGGTAACAGATAATAATATAAACACAGGGTAGTATTATGAATATACATGCCTAGTGGCTATTTTATCAAGATTTTCTGTTAATTACAAAGGTATAGATATATAATCCTGTAATGCCTGCTTATTCCTTCCTTATCGAGCCTCAGAATTATTTTAGAAGCTCACCTGGGCCTCATCTATAGAACCTGAGCCATTAGATCAGACGCTAACTCGGTGCTGGTTTCCTGGCGGCGCACTGCTCTGACTTCCTCTTGAGAGTACTGGAAAGAATGAGCTCGCCAGCCCAGCGAGAGGAGCTGCCCTCCACATGGCCTAAGGCTTGGTTGAGTAGCAACGTAGAGATATTCTGTTTTTCCCAACAAAATAGCTGATATTTAGTAAGCAAATAAAATCCCAAAAGAGTAGGAACTGGCTTAAAGAGCCTGAGGATGGCACACGAAGGGACTGAAAGTACGTTATTTTGGGGGGTAAATTCCCAGGAAATAAACCTATAGTATTTCTGCAATGTCAGCCTAGTCCTTCTCAACCCAGTTAGCTTTCTCTGACCCACAGAGCCCATTTTCTGGGGTGCGTGTGAACCCATTCCAGCCGGCCCAAACTGAAATTCCAACTGGACAGAAAAGGCCACCTCAGGCCGGCCCCGTGGCTTAACGGTTAAGTGTGTGCGCTCGGCTGCCGGCTGCGGCGGCCCGGGTTCGGATCCCGGGTGTGAACCGACGCACCGCTCCTCCCGCCATGCTGAGGCTGCGTCCCACATACAGCAACTAGAAGGATGTGCAGCTATGACAGACAACTATCTACTGGGGCTTTGGGGGAAAAATAAATAAATAAAATCTTTAAAAAAAAAAAAAAAAAAAAGGCCACCTCAGCTGTCAAGCACAGAAGCCACATGTGGCTTTTGGTTTAAGAATCAGTCCAGGCAGCACATGCTCTGAGTGCTTGGGGAGTGGTATGCCTATTCCTGATACGAGAACAAGCAGCCTCTGTCTTAATTCCACACTTAAATCGAGGATAGACAATTCTGAATGTTTCTACTTTTTTTGTGTGTGTGAGGAAGATCTGCCCTGAGCTAACATCTGCCAATCCTCCTCTTTTTGCTGAGGAAGACTGGCCCTGGGCTAACATCTGTGCCCATCTTCCTCTACTTTATAAGGGACACCCCACAGCATGGCTTGACAAGCGATGCGTTGGTGCGCGCCGGGGAGCTGAAGCGGCGAACCCCGGGCCGCCGCAGCGGAGCCCCGCACTTAACCGCTTGCGCCACTGGGCTGGCCCCTGCATGTTTCTACTTTTAAAGGAGCTATGTTAAATCATTCTTATGAGAAAAAAATCACTTATTGTGTAAAAAGGTCTGATTTCTCAGGGAGTCCTTTTAGAGCTGAAGGGATTTCTTAGCAGACAAAGGAGTGCTCATTAAATCATACCTTTGTGAGGAAGAGATTCTTAAGCCTAAGGTGCAGGACATGTAATTATTAGGTTAAGTAGGATTCAAAACACTGTCTCTAGCACCCCTTTCTGAGGCGATCTTTTTATTTTTATTTGATAAATAGGGGCACCTTTCTGAAATTTTTGCCTAGAAACCCAGAATAACAACTTGTAGCATGTTAGAATTCTAGAAATAGTTTGACCCTGCATTTCACAGTCAGAGTTCAGGGCTCCAAAAATATGCTGTCCAAATCATTATTGGCGATTAATTTATTTTGCCCTCCTGCAGGAGGTGAAGCAGCCAGTGTAATGAGACTTGAGAGAGAGCCCATTTTCCAAGGAAGAACAAAGAGAAAGCGGGCGCCCCTCCCCCTCGGAGAAGCTGCTTTGCTTTGTCTGAGCCTACTCCCTCTGAGGACTGCAGCGGGAGAGGCTGAGGGCTGTGTCCCTGCCAATTAGTTTAGTAACACTTGGTTCAGCAGTCCTGAGGAGTTGGGGAGATGTGTGCCTGCCTGCACAGTATTAATGTTATCAGCTGCCCTGGTCATGTATCCGCTCCCTGAAGGACACCTTTATAACACAGTAACACTTAGGGAGACATTCCCCTCCTTTACTTCTGTTTCTCTGCCAATAAACAAATGTCAGGCATTGTCTTGGATCCGGTCCCTGATTCACTAAGTTACTAAGTTATCCATTGCTCTTCTTTGTCCTCCAAACACTGAGCTCTCAGTGCTCATCTGGTTGGATCCAGAATGTGAAGGCTACAGCCCAAGAGGTCACGTACAGGACTTGGGGGCCCAACCTTCCTTCTCCCAGACCCTCAAGAAGACTTCTGTTCCAGTTGGGTTCCTAATTACGGTGTTTCTGGTGCTACTGGACAAAAGAGAGGACCTTGTTTTGAACCAGAACCTATAATTTATGCCTACAGCTATGCCCTGATGGGAGATGGGAATTTTCATGTCAGAGAATAGGGACCTGATAAACAGCATTACGAGTCCAAATTAAACCATCCACCTATGGGTCTTCACCCCGTTAGTAGAAGAAAAATGGCGATGCACGATTCTTACACTTAATGCTCTGAATCTTTGCAAATGGGAGGGACAAGAAAGTTATTAGTGCATCATTTGGGCAACGTGAAGGACAGGGCTCTGTAGGAGAAAGCCTCAGCTTAATGAAGGGCAACATAAAGCTCCAAGCAGCATAAAAAGGGAGACGATGCACTTCGGCATCGTCTTGCAGGTCACAATTCTCAGCAGTCGCGTTGGCTCAAGAGCAGAAGCGCAACTCGTCATCTTCTTTCTGTGGGCTTCAGCCATAGGGGGAGAAAGGTGGTACCACAATTCTCTCCCAGTGGATGACGATGACGTGTTCTAAGCAGATGGCTGCAGAGGCTCCTGTCAAATGAATGAAGAGAAAAAGGAAGTGGGGAGAGGAGGAGGGACTCTAGAAATGGCACTACAACAATCCTGGAATAAAAATGAGGGGAGAGATGATAAGCACAACCACCTTGATAGTCAACCCCTTGCCCTTTTTTCCCAACGGCTTCTGATAACCTGTTTTAATATTTTGTAAATAACTTAAAGCAGGATAGGATAAACGAAAGAGAGCCCCTATCAGGTTCTATTTTCACTGTCCTTCAAGATTGTTTTAAATAACAATTATATCATAAAAATCAAATCCACCCTTTTTAGCTTTAGGAAGCATTAAAAACAGTCAAGCCCTTTGAAACACTGTATACCCAAACCATAATGGGCCTCTAGGTTTCTCTTCTCCAAAGAAAGGCTGCTCTGGTTGTGCCCATTACTTTCAGTTTTGTTGGGGAGGGGACATAACGTGCAGCATTCTGAGTGCAACGGTATTTGGAACGTCTGCCTGGTCTGTGCGGTCCCGGGAGCGACGCCACAGCCTCCGGCGAGATCCGAGCTTTCTCCCCTGTCACCAGCAGGCGGCGCTGTTTTCGGGGCGCCCGCGGCCGCCACCCCGCCCGCCACGAAGGTCACTTCCGCCTTGGGCCTGCGAGGCGGCCCCCCGTCCCCCTCCCCCCCGGCCACGCCTTCTGGTTTTGTATGAGGCAGCCTCTTTCACCCAGCGCTGTCTGCTAACGTTTCTGAACCACTATGCTCTTGTGACTGTTTATGCTGCTTGAAAACTTGCTTCTGGGGTCCTTTGAAAGAATGGAAATCGTAAAATAACATGTATTTGGGATTTCGAAACCACTGACTTTTTAAATATCTCTAATGCATTTCAACTTAGTCAAATAAAAAGAGCCAATGACTCGACAAAATAGGCAATATATGTTGAAAATTAGAGCTTAAAAAAAAAAAAAAATCCCTTTCCTGTTTATTCCAGACTCTTCTACAGGCGAGAGAGCAGCTCGAGAAAATTCAGCTGCGGCGCCATCTGCTGGACGCTCTGCGACGCTGCAAGGCCCTGCGGAGAAGGAGAGGTCGGCTTGCAGGTGAAGGCCCGCCTTCTGCCCAGGAAAGGCTCTGGCACCAAGGTAGCAGTCTGCTTATGTAAAAAGAGCTCAACTGCCCGTCTACAAGACAGTGGTCTCCGTTTTGGGGAGCCCTCGTATGTCATATGAGGGCCCTCTTAGGAAAACCTGGGGCTTTGGGAGAAGAGGAGGCATAACCTTTCATTACCCCACGTCTCTCAGGTGCAGGGCTGAAAACTAAAACTATTTTCCATTGCTGCACAGGGAAATATCAGAAACAGAAGTCACAATGTATTTGTTCTCCTGAATGGAACTGATTTTGCCAAATGGAAGGAATTTTTAAGGTGAAGAGAGTGACAGAAAAAAAATTAATCTGGGAGCGGGGAGGTGTTAAAATATGGCCTTGGCTGTGATTTGATATAAGGTCACCAAGCCCTGCTATCATTTTCCAAACTCGTAAATCAGCTCTGATTTAGTTGAAGATTTTTCTATTTAGGAGACTTGAGGCCCTTTCCACACAAAGGTCTAAACCCATTTACAAACTCATTTATGTACATACTTCAGCGTAAACCTGCATTCACCGTTGTTGCAAACTTTGTTAAAGGCCGTAATCAGAAAACGCTTGGGGAACTGGTAGAAAGCCGAATTTTAGAGCAGAATTACAGTTGGCCTACCCATCTGGAAAAATAGGGTATCCCTGACAGGAAATATTTGTAATGGAAAAATGTTATCAAACATAGTTCTGAGGGCCAGCTTAGCAGTTAAGTGCGCGCGCTCTGCTACTGGCGGCCCAGGTTCGGATCCCGGGCGCGCACAGACGCACCACTTCTCCGGCCATCTGAGGCCGCCTCCCACATACAGCAACCAGAGGGATGTGCAACTGTGACATACAACTATCTACTGGGGCTTTGGGAAAAAAAAAAGGAAGATTGGCAATAGATGTTAGCTCAGAGCCAGTCTTCCTCAGCAAAAAAAGAGGAGGATTAGCACGGATGTTAGCGCAGGGCTGATCTTCCTCACAAAAACAAACAAACAAACAAAAAACATTGTTCTGACCCTCCAGAGCTTGATAATAGCTTTCTAACAAAGTGAGTTTTTGTGTTCTGGACTGAGCTTATAATATTTTCCTGAAAGAGATGAAGTAGCTTTACCAATAATATAGCCTATTGGAACCTAACTGGTTATGTAGTGCTTGGTCACATCATGTGACTTCTATATACAGTCATTGTTTTATATGGACATCCTTTGGTGCTTCAATAACTAAGCCCTCATGGATGAGACATACCTGATTCTACTGCCATAGCAAATAGTTTCGTAGAGAAAATGTTAACCCTCCATATGGGTGCTTGAAGAAGATAACTAAGAAAACAGGATGAGAAATAAAATTAAAAACCATTGCACGGGGGCCGGCCCGGTGGCGCAAGTGGTTAAGTGCGCGCGCTCCGCTGCGGCGGCCCGGGGTTCGCTGGTTCGGATCCCGGGCGCGCACGGACGCACTGCTTGGCAAGCCATGCTGTGGCGGCGTCCCATATAAAGTGGAGGAAGATGGGCACGGATGTTAGCCCAGGGCCAGTCTTCCTCAGCAAAAAAAGAGGAGGATTGGCAGATGTTAGCACAGGGCTGACCTCCTCACAAAAAAAAAAAAAAAAAAACCATTGCAATGGGGGCCGGCCTGGTGGCATAATGGTTAAGTTCACGAACTCCACTTCGGCAGCACGCAGGGTTTGCAGGTTCGGATCCCGGGCATGGACCTATGCACCACTCATCAAGCCATGCTGTGGTGAGGTCCTGTATACAAAATAGAGGAAGAAGGGCACAGATGTTAGCTCAGGGCTAACAAAAACAAACCAAACAAACAAAAAATTGCGATGCGTGGGTGGACTGTATCAGAGAGAAGACTGAGTATATTTTCTATTTTGAATAAACAAAGAGTTATTGGGTACCAAACTGTGACCAGTATAGAAAATATGTGATGGCTGATGCCACATCTATCATACCGCTCTTTTACTAATGTATTTGTAGAGGAGAATCTTTCAGAGAAATAAATAACTTGATAACAAATCAGCATTGTAAGTGGTGGCGTGAGATGGAGAATTGAACATGGTTCGGTGAAGGTGCTTTCAGGGTCTCTGGCTCAGGACAGTGCGGGACGGGATCACAGATGGAGCAGTGAAAGCCAGATACCTTGAGGCCTCACAGTTTTTTCCTCTCGTGTGGCACAGGACAGTCCCTGGAAACTGAAGTTTTCTCTTCTGTAGTTCTCCTTATTTCTTTAACTTTTTTGTTTAAAGGGTGCCTCTACCCTCAGAACAGAGCCACATATTCAAACTACCTGTCATTTTCTTCACAGACGTCCCAAGAGCATTCATTGAGCACTATTTCTGGTAAACTCAATATAAAAAGGCTATCCACTCCCCCAGCAATTGGGCTCGGGGTTCAAATATCTTGTATTTGGCGAAAAGCAAGGGAAAATTTTTCTAGAGATGACCTCTCCCTTGACTTTCACCCTGTTCTAAATTGGGCTTTTGAGAAAATGTGACCATTCTCTCAAACATATGAAACATTGAACTTGGTAGAAATTTCTATCCAGATCCTAGAGTTAGGTAAGTGTGTCTCTTATGGTCAAAATCCTGACTTCACAGAGGAATTGCCATGTCAATGTTGATTCAACTTGTTTTTGATCTCTCAGCATTGATCAGTCCTCTTCTCTCCCCTCCCTACAAAATGTCAGGCTAACATCTGCTCATCAGTGGGTCTTGGCTTTCCGGCCACTTCCTCTGAGAAGATTTCCTTGACCCCCCAGGGCGGGGAGGGTGCCCCTGCTGAGTTCCCAACACCTCATGGTTCCCCATCATTGCTCTAATACCACACTGTCACTGCTTATCTGTCTGTCTCCCATACTAGATTCTTACGTCCTATGAAAACGAGGCCAAGGCTGCTGTTATGTTCATTTTGCATCCTCACTGCCTAATTAGTGCCTCAGACCAAGCAGATGTTAGGTAGGAATTCAACACAGAGGTGGGAGGGGAAGAGTGTTTCCAGTGGAGGAACTGGCATGACCACATCCACAGGTACAGACCTGAAAGAGTGCCTAGGAGCATGGGCGTGGTGAAGCCTGAGGGGGGCCGAGGAAAGATAAAATGGGAGAGAGTCTGGGCTGGTTATGAATATTGTGAATGTTAGTTTAAGGCAGTGGTCATAAGAAGTTGAAACAGTTGCAAATGATGGCATTTCTGGTGTATTGTGTATCAGACAACTGCTTTGCATATATTTTCATCAAATGTGGAGCCCCAGATCTAGCCCATTCCACTTGTGGAAGATATCACTTAATTGGCAAAACCAGTCTACATGGCCAAACCAGTCAGTTAAATAGACTTATTTGCTATCATAAAAAGTTTAGCTTCATTTTTTTAATTAAAAACACTATATTACTACAAGGTCTTCCACCACCTCAGTTGTGACTTCTAATTCTAAGATAGCTGCTGTCCAAGGCACAACGCTTGCCAGGAATTTGTCCAGGGGCTGAAATGAGGTGCTGCCCTGTCAGTGTTTCTTACTTGGCTCTCTAGAGATTCTCCCTCAGGCGTGATGAATTCTCTAATCATCCCTTCGTTTGGGGACAAAGCACAGTTCAGGATGGCTGAAGGGAGCCTTTCTGTGGTGAAGGGTCAGAGCAATTGGGAAGGGGAGGCTGGAAAAGAGAAATCAGTTCAGTGTCAGCTCTTCCCAGGCAGATCACTTTCAGGAGAAGGGGTATTCAGTAGTTCAGAATCTGGAAATTGACCCCCTTAATACTATCAATGCTGTGTACTCTCAAGGTACCTAGACCCCAGTTTGAAGACTATGGTTTTAAAGAACCCTAATTTTATGCTACAGACCAGTGGGCTCCAGAGTGGGGTATGCAAGAGGTAAGAAAGAAAATATTACAAACTCTACTTATACTTTTTTTATGTCATCCTCTTAAACTTTCTATTTTGTTGGATGTTTATAATTTATATAAAATAGAAATGCACTAGTATATAAATAATTTAAAATAAATTATGTGTGTGTGTATTAGAGAGAGGAGGTACAAACATTAGTTTACTGATAAGCAGATGCAACCAAAAAAAAAATCTGAGGACCACTTTTAGGGTCAGTGGGGAGTCACCAAAGGCTTCTGAGTAAGGGGATGAAAATGAGCATAATTGTTGACTGCAGGAGCTGGTGAGGAACAGTGCCAGCCATCGAGGAGGATACACAGAGGTACTATGCCCGCCTTCAGAGAGCTGGCAGCCTGGCTGACACAAGAAAAAACAACTAACAACAGTGAATGATAAACAGTGCATGGCTAATTAAAGGGAGGACAATGAGGAAGAAATTTAAGAGAACGTAGAAAGGGCAACTGTTTTTTAATTTCGTTTTTAAACATGCATTTCCTGTAGAAAGAGCTGAATTTTCAGCAACGCCCTAAATGGTGATGGCCTTGCCACACTATTTTCATTTCAGAGTCCAAGCATTCTGTTTGGTCATGTTCCTTCTTTTCTAAATTGATGTTTTATTTCTGATTTGGGAGACCATGGTTCTTAGAAGAAGAAACACCTAAAAATGTGAGAGTTTGTGATGAAAAAGTATTTACATCTGTAATCTTGGTCTTTCAGAAGATCCCAACATTATAATGGTTAAAATGTCCAGGGAAAAGGGAAGTTAGGGGAGTAATTTCAGTAGTTTCCGTATTTTTAGAAATTCTCCTATGACCAAAATTTCCCAGAGAGAGAGATTTTAAAAAGTTCCCAAAGAATATCATAATAAGGCATAATAGTACCTTATAGATGTGTATAGTAGATCCAGTCTCAAAGGATTGCATCCCCCGCAGTTATGTCTCCATTGAGTGGTAAGCGTGATAAAAGAGGCCAACAGGCATCCCAGACTCACAGTCTGAGCAGGAGCTCAGGCCTCCTGACAAATACTGTGTTGGAAAAGAACCCTGAAGTGTCCACCCAGGTGCTCACTCAGACCCCACCCTCCTCACAATAACACCATAG